AACCATATATATATATATATATATATATATATATATGGAAAAGGGCCAGGCTAGTCTTGGGCTAGCCCAGCTCTTGTCCCTATGGGGCTGGTTTGAGTCCGGCTTGGTCTTCCCGACCCTAACTCGGCCAAAGAGTAATTGATGAAGTAGAATGAGCATGGTGATGAACTTATTTATTATTTTGATATGTCAACCATTCGAATGGAAGGCGGGATATTATGTTGAGGCATCCACCGGCCTAACAACCCATGCACCACTTCCACCCCCATTTTAGATATTATGTTGAGGCATCCACCGGCCTAACAACCCATGCACCACTTCCACCCCCATTTTAACTTTTTAAAATGAACATAGTTCTTGGACCATTATGCTAATAAAAGTTAAATAAATAAACAAATAAATAAACTTGGTTCGCATTTCTTCGTAAGCAATTATGAATTTTTAATATTTCTAATAGTTCGAAAAACTCGTCGCAGCTTTTTGGAGCTTACAACTCTTAGGTGTATGGACTCATCCTTGGTAGGGTCCGAGACCGCCACTAAGAGTTTCAAATAGAAAACACAAGCTTAGGACTAAAATACAAACTATGTGAAAATAATTCAAAATTGGTTATGATGATTTTTTACAAAACAAATTTAGATGAAGCACATTTCAGTTTCAAAATTTGACGATATTTGGGAAATTCTTAAGGTTCTAACAGATCTAGCAAATCTGGCGACCCATCAAACTGTTTACATAGCCTAGATCTTGACCTGACTGGACCCAACTCGAGTTCAAGGTTTTTGTGCTGGATTTGACCCATCGGATTCAAAACAACCTGGTTTAGACCCGGGTGACGTATAAGAACCTAACAAACATTTTTTGAAAAATATTCAAAAAAAAATATTTCAAATATATAAGTCATCCAAACACACACACACACACACACACACACACACACACACACACACACACATATATATATATATATATATATATATATATCTATATATTATTTTATACTAATATAATGAGACAATCTTCAAAAACCATATTAGGGGCATTTATTTTACTCCAATTTTTAAATATACATTTTTTTTATTCTAATTAACAACCCCAAAAGATCTAAAATTAAAAATACACCCTAAAAGGATTTGTTTTAGCCATATTCCATGGGCCATTGATTTAGTGAGATGCTAAGATCTAGGCCTTAAAATGAAAAATTTTCCTTTCTAATTTTTTTAAATAGCTTTACTATCGTTAGATTATAAATGACTAGACATTGAAATTTACCAAATCCATAGTTTTGATTTATTATTGGAGGGGACTCATTTTGACCATATTTTGTAGAAGTTTGGTTTCATTATATTGCAATGACATGGTGGCATAAGATCAAACACATACATTATAATTATATTGATGTATGTACTATGTGTATGTGCGTATATAGATAGGTTTGGGTCCGATCCAGCTGGGGTCGACCTAGACCCAAATCCGAGCTAGATCCGATTCGAATTCAAGGCTATGGGCATGGATCCTTTGAGCCAATCCGAAACTTGGACCTTGATTCAGACTCAGATCGGGGCGACTGCCCAGGCCGTCAGGTCGGCCCTAACCGATTGCCACCCCTAGAGAAAACTCATATTGTAGATGTTGTGGTATTGGCAAATGCCAATGAGAATTTCATGACCAACGGTGACCTAGAAGCAATTGTGGATTGGATACCCGGCATGCCCGATATCCGTCTAAGGGACTTACCCTCCTTCATCAGGACAACCAATCTTAATGATCCCATGTTACAGGTTTGTACAATCGAAAGCCCTAATACTCTCAAGTCTTGGGCTATCATTCTCAACACATTCGAAGATTTAGATAAACCTGTTCTTGATGCCATGAGAGAAAGAATCGGTCGCCCAATCTACACAATTGGCCCGGTTGTAAGCTTTAGCCAATTTGAATCCAATGACCGTTTAAAGTCGGTTTCAATGAGTCTTTGGAATGAGGAGGATACTTGTGTAGGATGGCTCAATGACAAGGAACCTAAGTCAGTTGTGTATGTGAATTTTGGCAGTGCGACAGTTGCAACACCCATTCAACTCAACGAATTCGCTTGGGGTCTTGCAAATAGCCAAAGGCCTTTCATATGGGTCATTCGTGAAGATCTCGTATTCGGCAAATCGGCAACGTTAGAAAAAACATTTGTCGAAGAAACCAAAGAAAGAAGGCTAATCCTGAGTTGGTGTAACCAGATTAAAGTACTGTCACACCCTGCAGTTGGGTGCTTCCTAACTCACAGTGGATGGAATTCGACAATTGAGAGCATTAGCAATGGTGTGCCGATGTTATGTTGGCCCTTCTTTGCTGATCATCCAACAATTTGCAGGTACGTTTGCAAGGAATGGGGCATTGGGATGGAAATAAACAATGATGTTAAGAGGGAGGAGGTGGAAGCATTGGTGAGGGAGTTGATGGAAGGAGAGAAGGGTAAAGAGATGCAGTTAAAGGCCAAGAAATGGAAAGAGATCTCAAAAACTGTTGTTCAATTAGGAGGCAGCTCTTACAATAACTTAGAGAGGCTTATAAAGCAAGTGCTTCCAGAGAAACGCTGATCAAATCTACTTGTTCACACAAATACTTGTTTAATGTATAACCAGTCATTTGCTTATGTAGATTGCACACAAGTGTGAGCCTTGTTTGTGTATGTGTCGATGTGCACGTGTGCTACAAACAGTAGGCAGGGCTTAATTGGTTCTCTCACAGATGTTGATGCAAGTATGTGAATAATGTTGAGAGTTAGATGTCTTGTGAGTACTATTTATAAAAAGCCACATCTATTATTGTGTAATTTAATTTTGGAAAATTTACTTTAGGGTGCACTTGGCATACGGATCCATCTATCTCAAAATCTATTTTTATATCTAATTATAAAATTTTAAATCTTAAAAATGGTTAAAATCAAGTAGATCTATAAACATAGGAAAATCTTGAAAATAAATGGTGTAGATAATATGTTGTAAAATATACTATTTTTGAGAAAAACTCTTTTTATTTTTATAGTCATACATCTCGATGTCGAGATGATCAATCAAACAGTTGTTCAACATTAAAACTACATTTTCCAATGGATTTTTGAGGGACATCCGTAGTTCTACGTTATATGGTTGCATCATTTTATAAACTTTTTCCTTTACTTTAAAAAACCTTACACTTATCAAGCTTGCAAAGTTTTTTGAAAGTCCTACCTCCAACTACACATATATTTCCAAATATACTGAGATTTTCACAATTTCCACATTCAAGACTTCAACCCCTCAAAGAAAACAAAAAAACACAACTCCAATCCCTAAGATAAAGTGTACCTGCGGCCCCCCTCTCTTTTTCAACTTTTCGTCTCTCTCTCCCTTCCGCCGCTCATCTTTATTGATGGAGTCCAATTTTTCTAAGGGTTCGTTTGGACTGGAAGAAATTAAGAATCTTAGATATTTGAAATCCTAAAGAAATCTTTGATAGTTCCCCTCTTCGATAATTTTGAGATAGTTTTTCTCTCTAAACATTAAATAGTCTTACTCTCTAAAATATGATATAGTTGTTCTCCCAAATTTTAAGATACTTTCTCTTTTTAAAGGTTAAAATTTGAGATAATTTCTCTCTAAAAATATTGCGATAGTTTTTTTCTAAATCTTTTTATGTACTCTCTCTCTCTAAAATTTGATATAGTTATTCTCGTAAGTTATACGATACTTTCTCTCTCTAAAACGTCAGGTTTGAGAAAGCTTCTCTATCCAAAATTTTGAAATATTTTTTCCCTTAAAAATTTGATATAGTGTCTCTCTAAAATTTGAGATACTTTCTCTCTCTAAAGTTTAAAAAAATTGAGATACTTTCTCTCTCTAAAGTTTAAAATTTGAGATACTTTCTCTCTCTAATACTTAACTTTTGAGATAGTTTCTCTCTAAAAATTTTTGAGATAGTTTCTCTCTCAAAAAATTTCATGTCCTTTCTCTAAGTAAAATATAATTTAGTCTCTCTCCAAAATTTTAAAATACTTTTTCTCTCTAAAACATAAATTTTGCGATAGTTTCTTTCTCCAAAAATTTTGAGATAATTTTTATCTCTAAAATTTTCTAGGTAGTTTTTCTCTCTAAAATTTGATATAATTTTTATCTTTAAAATTTTAATATATTTTCTCTTTCTAAACTTTCAAATTCGAGATAGTTTCTCTCTAAAACTCAAAATTCGAGATAGTTTCTCTATCTAAGAAATGTGAAATTTCTCTCTCTAAATTTTTTTGGAAGTTTCTCTTTCTAGAATTTATAATAATTTCTCTCTAAAAGTTTAAGAATACTTTCTCTCTCTAAAATTTTAAGAATACTTTCTCTCGCTAAAACTTAAGATTTGATATAGTTTCTCTCTCTAAATTAAAATATGAAATTGTTTCTCTCTAAAAGTTTTGAAATAGTTTCTCTATCTAAAAAATTGAGATAGTTTATTTCTCTAAAATTTTTGTATGTACTTTCTCTCTCTAAAATATAATAGTTTCTCTCTAAAACTTAAATTTAAAATAGTTTCTCTCCTAAAATTTTGAGATAGTTTATCTCTCTAAAAAAAAATTGTACTTTCTCTCTTTAAAATTTTAACATACTTTCTCTCTTTTAAAATTTTAACATACTTTTTATCTTTAAAAGTTAAAATTTGAAATAGTTTCTCTCTATAAAATTTTGAGTTAGTTCATCTCTCTAAACAAAATTGGTACTTTCTCACTCTAAAATTTTAACATATTTTCTCTTTCTAAAAGTTAAAATTTGAGATATTTTCTCTCTCTAAAATTTTGAGATAGTTCATCCCTCTAAAAAAATTTGGTACTTTTTCCCTCTAAAATTTTAGCATACTCTCTATCTTTAATAGTTTAAATTTGAGATAGTTTTTTTCTCTAAAAATGTTGAGATATTTTATCTCTTTAAAAAAAATTTAGGTATTTTTTCTCTCTAAAATTATCGTAACCACCCAATGCTCCCTATATTTCGGGTCTGAGGGAGCCAATGAGTGAAATCCATGGGTCTTGGAAATGCCAAAAAACAGGTTTTGGTGTGGAGAGAGTGGGAGTGAGAGAGATAGAGAGGGGGCCTCTAGATATCTAATAAATAACGATTTACTAGTAAGATGAGCGCCCGCAAAGGCACATACAAACCGCGTATTTTTTACGTTTTAAAATTTTACGCTACATCTACCCAGACAATAAATAACCAAAAAAAACATTTATCATGATTTACACTGCATAATTTCATGCTTCCTTTACATAATTAACGTTTTTTAATTAATTAGAAGAGTAGGAAAAAAGGAAAAAATATAAATATAGAATTATTTCTTTTAGTGAGAGAGACACCCAATACTAGGGCACCATGTTTTTGAGAGGAAAAGATTATTTACCAATTTAACCAAAAATAAATAAAGATTATTTACCTGTAGAGAGATGGACTGGCGTCTCATCCTATTTCCTTGAGCTGAAGTAGGAAAGAAGAAGTAGTTTTTAGGTTTTTGGATTAGGTTTTTGTACTTGTAACAGGACAGATGAGAAAGGAAGAGGAAGCAGAACATGAAGGAAGAGGAAGGAGGAACAAGAACAGTAGTAGATGAGATGAAACCATGAAATGAGAAAGTAAAAGTGAATCGTAAAATCCTATTAAGTATTTCCCTTTCCGTTCAAATAAAATGGCTTTATTTTTTTAATTTGAAATTCTGTATGTAAAATGTCATTGCTTAATGCCATTGGATAGATTTCAATGGATTAATTTGGCAAGAGTAACATCTTTCTTTCCAACACATTAGATAAGTTAATGAATTTTTGAGTATTTTGAATTTGGCTAAAAAAAATGGAGTGAAAATCAGATATATAAAGATAATATAAGTTGAAAATAGAAATTGTAGTTATTTTAGGCTACATTAAATTTTATTTTGCTATAATATTTTGTCCATACCTGAAAACATTTACGATCCTGTCCTACTTGACAAATTTTTCAAATTTTTTATCTAATATGCAACAATAATCTTCCTTCATTTTCACGATAAAAAAAGATATTATTTTATTTGGGGTGTAGAATGAAACAAAAACAACAATACTCTAATAGAACAATTACATTAACAAATAACAATAACTATAACCTATGGTATTGCATTATTAGTATAAAGGGAAAAATACGACCTTCATTATAGGATAATAGTTAACTTAAACTTAAAACACCCAAAAACGTGAAAAAATGTTTCATCCATATGATTGCATTTTATAACCGATGAAATAACAAAAAAATAAAAAAAGGTCAATTACTCGAACTTTTGCAGATAAAGAGGAAGTAACAAAATTATTTCTTTTACTAAAAAATCCCTAAAAGTAAACCGAATATTTATATCATGCCCTAATTCCTAGTTACCTAAATCTTTAGTTGTGACTAAATATCTCTCTCGTTTAAATTTTTTTTTTGTAATGATTCTCATGATTTAGATAAAACAAGATTTTTTGTTGAGTTACTCTTCCACTAACTTTTGCCTATTATTTTGAGACATATTGATGTTTTCGGAAAATATTTTTTTTTTAGGAATACTTTGGTGGTATTGTATTTTAGTACAATTTTTAATGGGAATATATTGATGAAATCCTTTTTTTTTTTTGAAATTCTTTGTTAAGTCAAGGATCTTAGTTTAATCCCACTTTTAATCTGTTTATCTCAATAACAAAATTCAAGTATATCAAATCACTAAAGATAAGGGAAGTTTAAAGAAAATTATAGGTAAGAAGTTTTTTTTATGAAAAACTTATTTTGAAAAAATAATTATGTATTTATATTGGTTCAATAAAAAGCTACATCTCTTGTGGGTCTTTTAATGAACTCAAAGTCTTTAATAGATTTCAAAAAACCCAAAAGTTTTTTTCTAAAAGATCTTCTTTTGTTAAAAGGCTTGCTAAGTATGACATATACCAGTAAATTGTCGTAGAATAGAGTTGGGGAAAGAGATTATTTGAAATTAAAAATTTGTTGGTACTGTGTTTAAGAATACTCTGAATACTCGTTTTACATATGGAATCACTATATACCTGGTAATTTATTATAATACTAAGCCATTTATAGTTAAAAAAAAAAAAAGCATCTCAGAGCAAGGTTCTCTGGAAAACTTTACTGAATTCCTACTCGTTACTTCCTTGAGGATTGTCCTCATGAGAAACCTTTATGCATAGTGTCAACGATACATAAATCATGTAAAACTGGTTTTAGCCTTTAATTTGAATAGACAGATGGAATAGCTTCAACAATAGTGTCCAATATGGTTTCTGACTCAAAATTTTTTTTTGTAGTAAAATCATTTTTCCTGTGAAATTTTCGCAAACAAGGGCACCACACCTTTTTTTTATAGATCCAAAAAGTGTGCTTTTGAATATAATTGTACTCCAAAGGTGAGATAAGTTAGGATATATCCAGTATGCCCCTACTCCACGTTGGATGAAGGTGAAAGGATATTGTCTCATTCTATAAATGGGACATGAATTTCACTTTTTGCGAAGTAAGTTTTTATGGAACTTCCTCTTGAGAAAAGATGTCACTATAGTACTCTAGATCTTGTTATCCTTAATACATTTATATATGTAATATCGTATTTCATTCTTCTATTTCTTTATATCTGGAAGACAAATTTGCCTCTAGAATTTACTATCATTATTTCGTTATATTGGTCTGTGTGGTTTAATAACTGCTACTCAAGTTGAATTGGAGGGATTGTTACCGTGGTTAAGGATTTGGATGGAGAAACAAACGGGAGATCTTTGATTATTGAAGGGGATTCTCTTAATGATATTAACTGGTATTCTGTTATCTCAAAACCTCCTTTGCGATTTAGGTTATGGTTGAAGGTTATGGTGATTAACTGTTATCTCTATGGTTGAAGGTTATGGATATTCTCTCTTTTCTCGAGTGGTTACTTTTCAACAAGTCTTAAAAGAAGCAAACAGGGTTGTAGATGGCTTGGCTAAGAAAGGAGTGTCTTAATTCTCTAGTTAGTTCCTCTGATTTGCTGTAACTGTTGTATTGTTCTCTTATTTCTTCTAATAAAAGTTATATGGTCTTGTCACAATAAAACAAAAAAAAAAAACTTAATATCAGTAAGCGACATATATTATTTTGTTTTAGCTAATTTTTTTGGGTGAGTCACTTACGGGTGATAATTGACCCGACCGAACCATGAGCATTTTTTTAAAACTCAAATTTTTTATCTGTTATTCTCATGTGAGAGAGCCACGTCATAGCCATCTAACATTTATTGCCACCCAACATGAGGGATTTTGTTAAAGGGAAAAGTTTATATAGAGCCGAAGCTCTAAACAATCAAATTTGATCCTACCCTAAAAATTTCACTAGAAGAGGCTGTTTTGACATCCAAATATCTTCAAATGGACCATCTCGACATCAAGATGCTTGGACATGAGAAAAAAATGGATTTCAAGCTTAAGAAATAGTGTATTTTTAACACATTTTGGACCGTCAATTTCTAAGATTTTCAAGTTTTCATTGATATGTCAATCTATACTATTTTTTAAGCTTTAAATTTTATAAATAAATATAAAAATATATTTTAAGGCTATCACAAAGATTTCCAATATGAAATTTCTCGACACTATTTGAATGTAGGCTGTAATTTGATTGTTTAGAGCCTAGGCTCTATACAAACTGCACCCTTTGTTAAATGATATAATAACTGGGAAAATATAGAATGAGATCATTTATTACCTTTTATACAAGGTGGCCATAATAATCTTGACTATTAGATGTAAAGTTGGGTGGCTGCAATTATGCGATTGATCAATCTCAAACTTCACAAGAAATTTGTTCGAACTTTGTGATATATCCAAACTATCATATTTCACAGCAAATGGTTGTAAGTAATTGTGACTACCTTGTATAAAAGGTAAATGTTCTATTATATACAATCCCGCAACTTATATACAACATAGGTCTTAAAGATGTGGGTTAAATGTCACTTAGATTTGCAGGGAATTCGTTGAACGTATAAAGAATTTATTTACTATTTATTGATATTATTCAAAGGTTTTGCAATAAATATAAAAATTTTGAGACATTTACATTAACAAAATGGGCATAACTCCCATAAACGGGCGCCTTATAGACCCATCCAAATGCACAATCCAAGTGGTGGTCATAATTTATCATATGAACAGCATGCGCTTGACACAGTGTATCAGGATGGTCCCATAATCAAAGATGTAAGTTTATGAATTCCAAGAAAAATTAAGGGCAGGATTCGTCATCTCAGCGCTAGTTTGGTTTGTATGAAAACTTGCGTCATAAAATATTTTTCATATGATGAAAACTATTGTCTGAGCTCCTAGAAGGAGCAAATCGTGTAAAAAGAAATCCCCACCGCACAAAGTGGGGAGTAAGTTCCCTAGGATCCTTAACTCTTGCGGGCTCGAAAAATATATTTCATTCGAGTTTACTGCAGGGGGTTGAAAGTTTAAACCACAAAAAATTAAAAAAATAAAATCTCTCTCTTTCCCTGCCATAAAAAAAAAAAAAAAAAAATTGCCTCAAGATTGTAGAGAGACTGTCCAATTTTTAGAAGGTAAGATCTATGATTGAAAAACTCGAATTTTAAAATTTGAAAATAATCATCTAATCATAATTAGTTGATCTCAAAAATTTCAAATTGAAAAGATCCTCCTAAGTAGGTCTTTTTACTAAAAGAATAAACTTATATTATACTCCCACAGGAGTATGTCTCCATTTTTATTCAATCACTATTTATTTAAGAAGTGTGTGGAACAAGAAGGCAATTTAGAAAGAAAAAATAAAGCGACGCTGGGGGAGGGTTGCTCTTGGTAAACTTTTTTATAAATAACATCAAATGATAATAAAAGAATACAAAAGTTGTCCGCATGTTGTTAAAAAAAAAAAAAACTCTATTTTCAATTGTTGTAGTCAGGTCCCATGGTCGGATGACAATTGGGGAGGCTTGGGTGGGGCCAGCCTTGGCCTTGGCCTGGCCCTTATTGCCGTAGGGCTGGGCGGGGCCACAAATGAAGAAAAATAGAAGTAAAAACAAGAAAAAAAAGATGGTGGAGCTGGGCTAAATCAAGCCGGCACTGGATCCTAATCTGGCCCTTGGGCCCAAGACAGAGCAATAGATATATCCCATTGCTAGAGAGAGTGGGCGAGAGGAAGTATGGGTTCTAAAAGTGCAGAGAAACCTCATGCCCTGTGCATTCCATATCCAGCACAAGGCCACATTAACCCCATGATGCACCTTGCCAAGCTTCTCCTTGCTAGAGGCTTTTACATAACTTTTGTCAACACTGAATTTAACCATGAGCGTGTTACTAGTTCAGCAGGAGCTATCGAATTGAAGCATTTAGAGGATTTTAACTTGGAATCGATCACTGATGGCTTGCCACCGGACGATTGCCGGACCCAAGAAAGCCTTTTCGATGCAACAACGAAGTATTTCTTGAGTCCTTTCAAGGATCTGGTTTCAAAACTCAATGGTTCCATGGAAGTCCCTCGGGTTCCATGCATAATTTCCGATGGCCTTCGGAACTTTACACAGCAAGTTGTAGAAGAGAATGGGATCCCAAGGATTTCTCTGTGGACGACGAGTACTTGTGGTTACTGGGGATTCTTGCAGTACCCGGAGATCATCGAAAGAGGAATCCTGCCTTTCAAAGGTCTCTCTCTCTCCCTTCCTCATACAAATACACAGCTTTCTCTATCTCAAACACTTATTACTTGGTTCGTAGTTCAAAGAAAAGCACTTGAAAACGTTTACCCAATAAACAGCAACTGTAAATAGCCAATTTCTATGTGCGTGTGGGCACGCATACATGCAAGAGAGACAGAGAGAAAGAGGGGGAGGGCGAGATGTCTAAATCTGCAACCATCGAATCAAAAACTAGACTGAATCTAGGCGCCTTCTCTCTCTCTCATATTTTTTTTCCATTGTTGCCTAGTTCACCAGAAGAGAGACAGATAAAACTGTTGCCTCCTTAAACACGTTTTCACACACTGTGACGAGGGTTTGGGCGCGCACATGTGTCTGGTAATTTTTTTGATTTTTTTGGGTGAATTATGGGAACTAGGGGCACTAAAAACTATGATAATTGGATTTAATTGTACTAAATAAATTTTGGACACTCATATATCTTTGTTTTGTACATGGAGCACTTTTTTAGTAAAGATATTTTTAGTCATTAAGAGATATGCGACTGATCCACATGGGATGTCCGATCACCCTTCATCATGCCACATCCTATGTGGATGATGTTATACCCATCCTAATAACAAAAAATACTCTTAATAAAAAAAATGATCCACATAGAAAACAATGATGTATAAGCTACAAGCTATAATGAATAGTATAAGCTACTAACTTCGAGCCGTCAGATCTTCATCGGGAGGTTCAAAATTCATATCACTATCTGAATTTTCATATTTTTCTAGAAATTAGATCGTAATGAAATTTTGGAAGTGTGTACTAAAAAAAAGGAAACATAATAAAAAAGTATATAAAACATATTTCCTAAAATACAAAATGACCGAAATACACCTGAAAATGATGGGGCTAATTTGATCCTTTTAAATTATTGAAATTAAGTTTTCAATATTTTTATATGGTGCGCAATAGTGTTAGGTATGTACACTTAAAATTTCATCTTAATTTGATTTATGGAAAAAATATTTAAATTACAATACTGATATAAATTTTGAACCACGCGACCCCTTCACATACTATACTTCAATGAGTGGTTCCAAATACATATCACTAGTTTGGCACAAGCTTTCTAGCTTTGCCCATAAATCTACCATCACCCTTTCAACTACTATACTAAATGGTATTTCATTCGCTAAGCATAAGCGAATTGTGGTAGCGCCTTCCTATGTTTTTCTTCCCAATCATCATCCTTCATTTTTTTTTTTTTTCTTGGATATTTTATGTAGTGTTTTATAAAAGCCTTGTTGTACCCATATATCATGAGTTTTTGTTTTCCAATGTTCAAAATCATTCCATCCATCGGACTTCTCTACTTCAAATTTGTAAGTTGCCATTTCTCACAAATTATTACACACTTTCTATGATACCACTTATTAGGAACCAAAGCTATCTCGATTACCCCCTTGTTACGGTGAACCCCTTACTACACCAAATCTAACACCTTGAAATTAACTCACCCTTCACTTGCAAATTTATTCAAAGAAATCCAATACCCAATAATCAAATATATGGTGCAATGAATTTGGTCAAAATATGATGAAATCAAGAGAAACTAAAATATGAACTCTAATGGCACAACCACACATTACAAACCATAATCAAAGTACCATAAACACATAATATACATACGTCACCCAAAATCAGGCTGCTTCCATGGGCAACCGACAAGGAAATAATTCATTATCAATAGAAGAAATTTAAAACTTTAGGGGTTCTGCAGTGATTACCTCATACATTGATAAAGAAAGCTCAAATTGATTTTCCTACCATAATAACACCACCAATCGACTCCTTTTGTCTCAATCAACTGACACCGTTACTGCAAAGAAATCCTAATGAAATCCGGCTTAATAGAAGGCCACAATAGTTCTAAGGGTTGTGTAAGAATCCCCTGATGTCCACCTACCAAAATATATATACATTTTTCTTATGTTTTCTCCCCCTAAAATTTGTTGTTATGGGCGTCCATAAAAGTTCATTTTTCTATCCCTCACAAAAGAGGGAACGCCATATGGAAGTTATTTTGGCAACACATACCAACAAGCACATATTTTTTATTTGAGGAAAACGGTTTTATAAAGTTGACTCTATACAGCCAAATTGAGCGTTCCTCAAAAATTCACTAGAAGAAGATGTTTTGATGCCGAAAACCACTCAAATCCGATCGTCTCAACTTTAATATACATGAACACCAAAAAATAAATGAACAAAAAAAACAGAACTTCAAGTCTTGAAAATAGTGCCTATTGTAATGCATTTTCTAAATTGGCAATTTTCAAGTGTTTGTAGTTCTATTTGATCTATATTATTTTTTAAGCCTTAAAATTTATAATTAGAGATTAAAATTAATTTCAGGCCACATAAAAAGATTTTATACGAAAATGACATCTTTCAACAATATTTGATTTTGCACCCCTCTTCGATTAGGGCGTCAGCCTTATAAAATCCAAACCCTTTATTTGAAGCAATAATTTATTAACGACAAGCAGTTTACTGTAATTTTGAAAGTACCTCAACATGGTTCACTTGTACAAAAAATGTAACTTCGCTATGTTGTCAAAGCACGATGATGTAGGACGCCCCGATCAAATTTGTGTTCTATAAAATGAGTAAAATTTTAAATTACGAATATGAATTAGACACTTTGGATAGCTTCACTCGTAATGTCAAATGTTAGAGCTTTTGAACGTCTAATCTTGATTGGACCGTTCAGAATTTTTTATTTTTATTTATCTTTTACAAATAATTTTGAGATTGAATTTGTGCCATCCCTTCCTTCCCTTGATGCACCTAATAAAAAGAGGGAAAAAGTCTTTCTTTCAAGAGCAAGAGCTCACAATACCCTTGTAACGTTTACAGGTATTTTGGTTATTTATGTTGTCATAAATATTTCTTTTTCTCTTTATTGGGTGCACCTTTAAAATGAGTAGTTGCCCCAATTCTGATATCTCAATGATTTGTCAATTATAAAAAAAAATACTAGGTAAAAAAAAATACTAGGCCATACGAGATGGAAGTTATCATCTAGATTGGATGACTAAGATATCAATGATATATGGCTATATGTATGTGGGTGGCGCCGATGTAAAGGATACATGATTAAAACAGTAGAACTTCAAAAGTAATTTACAAGAAATATGTTTTGTTATGGAAACTTACCATGTCCATTCCACTTGCTTTTTTTTTTGTCCTTTTCAAGAACGGATCCATGGGGTGGATCGTTCTAGATCGCCAATCTAAAATTTTGTTTAGAAAAACATAGATAATATGATATATATTACAATGAGTGATTACATAACATTAAATGTGGAGGCTTTTGGGAGGCATCTTGTCCTTATACCGAGGGCCTGTTGTAGGAGCCCCATTGCTTTTTTAACCTAAGAAAACAAGGGAATATTACTAATAACTTTAAGACTGGCTTTTTATGCAAGATATCTCAACTAAATTTTTTCGGATTTTTTTCTCCAAAATACACTTTTATAGCAAATACCTCAAGTTAAAAAAATACATTTTTTGATCAAAATACATTTTTTGATCAAAATACCCTTTTTTTGTACATAAAAATTTAATTTTCACGTGGGCTTATATAAGTTGTCGGACCGCTCTTTGACATTGCCGAACGCCGTTAAACTAAAAAAAGTATCGGACCACTCTTTGACATTGCCGGATCACACTTTGGGCATGTTGTTGGACTACATGGGTTTGCTACTGGACCGCCTCGGCCAGTTGCTGGACAGCCTGGACCTGTTGCTGGACCGCATTGGCCTGTTGCTGGGCCGCTTTTTGGCAGTGCCAGACCACATAGGCCTATTTCAGGACTGTTCTTTTTTAGTGTTGGACCGCAGCTTGTATTGCCAGAGCACCACTGTTGTTTATCGGACGGTTATTACACTACCGGACCGCCTTTTCGTAGGAAAGAGAAGAGAGAGGTATGGGTAAAAATAAGGAACGGTAATTTAGACTTTTTTTCTTTTTGGTTGGGGGGCATTTGCTAAGAAAGTATATTTTGGGATAAAAAGTGCGAAGATAGTTTGGTTGGGGGTAACGTGCATAAAAAATCTATTCTTGGGGTTATATGCAATTTTTCCAAAAAACAATGCTTTTTTAACGGTGCAGATGAACCTCAAATTTTGAAGAACTCTAGATTTATTTGTAATAAAAAACTATATGAATGTATAATATTAAATAAAGGACATGGTTTCTATGTCGCTGGCTTGCATATTGTAGAATTGCGGGCTCAGCATTAAATATAATATGATCCTAATTTTCAGAGAATATATAATTTTAATATGGAGATCACTAATATTAAAAAAAAAAAAAAAAAAATTGAATACTATAAATAATAACTATATTAGGAAACTTTTTGATTGTTAATTACACTTGTGTTCAGATGGACCACCTATTTGCATCCATCTTTAAGAAGGATGCTTCATATCTTTGGATCGCACATTGTAGAAATGAGATCCAGCCCGATGAAACAAATTTCCTTAAATAAATTGTTGACAGTGACTGACAACTAGCAAGGTCTTGAAGCTTCTCAATTTGGATTGGCAAATTCTAATATTGGGGATTTTTTTACCAATGCTTTTTGGATAACTTATCCACGTTGTTTCATTTTTCTAATGGTTTTTAAAGAGGTACCTTTAGGAATTGGGCTTGGGGTAAGGTGTTTGTAGCTGGTTTTCATGGCATTATATCCCAAGTTTCATTCGTATGTAATTTTGTAAAAATAAAAATAAAATAAAAAACAAAAAATAATAATACTAATAAATACGATACTAATAATAATAACTATGTTTATTATTATGTAGCTTGAGCCTGGTGATAAACTTGGTTGGGTCACATTCCATAATGAACAACTATACATTTTTTGTATTTCTAGAAATTCGAAAACCTCATCATAGCTTTCTGGAGCTTACAACTCGCGGTGCGTGAATTCACCACTGGTAGTGCCCTAGACTGCCACCTAGAGTGTCAAATGCAATATTCAAGCATAAAACTAAAATCCAAATTGCAGATAAATATTTCAAAATTGCTTATGGTGATTTTGTCGAAGTAAAATTCAGATGAAGCACATTTTTGTATTAAAATTTAATGACATTTGGGGAATGCATATGAGAATTTCTTGACCAACGGCGACCTCGAAACAGTTGTGGATTGGATACCTGGCATGCCGAATATCAGTCTAAGAGATTTACCCTCCTTTATTAGGACAACCATTCTTAGTGATATCGTGCAACAATTTTGCAAGGTTAAATGCCGTGATGCCCTCAAAGCTTCAGCTCTCATTCTTAACACATTCGAAGATTTAGAGAAACCTGTTCTCGATGCCATGAGAGAAAGAATCTCATGCCCATTCTATACAATTGGCCCTGTTGTAAGCTTTAGCCAAAGTGAATCCAATGTCCACTTAAACTCAGTTTCAAGGAGTCTTTGGAAAGAAGAGGATGCTTGTATAGAATGGCTCAATGACAAGGAACCTAAGTCAGTTCTCTATGTGAATTGTGGCCGTTTGGCAATTTTAACACCCAATCAAAACAATGAGTTTGCCTGGGTTCTTGCTAATAGCCAAAGACCATTCATATGGGTCATTCGCGACGATCTTGTAGCTGGCAAATCCGCAATGTTAGAAAAAGAATTTGTCGAAGCAACCAAAGAAAGAGGGTTAATCTTGAGTTGGTGTAACCAAATGAAATTACTGTCGCACCAGGCAATTGGTGGCTTCCTAACTCACAATGGGTGGAATTCTAAAATTGAGAGCATTAGCAGTGGGGTGTCGATGATATGTTGGCCGTATCTTGCCGATCAACAAACAAATTGCTAGCACGTTTGCAATGAATTGGGCATTGGTATGGAGATAAACAATGATGTTAAGAGGGAGGATGTGGAAGAATTGTTGAGGGAATTGATGGGAGGAGAGAAGGGTAAAGAGATGCAGTTAAAGGCCAAGAAATGGATGGAAAGCTCAAAAACTGCTCTTCAATTTGGAGGTAGCTCTTATAACAACTTAGAGAGGCTAATAAATGAAGTACTTCTAGAGAAACACTAACCAGATCTACATGTTCGCACAAATTTTATTGGAATGATTTTAGAAGCATTTATAAGAATTCATCCTCCTGTATATTGCATGGAAGTGTGAGATTTGTTTGTCCTTGTGTCGGTGTGTCCGTGCCGTAAAAAAAATGTGTGCCGTTTATTTGGAGCTTAAAAAGACGTTGTTGCATCTATGTATGTAATTTGGAGAATTAGAAGCACTTTGGCTCATATTGCCTTCAAACTACTAAATATGAAAAGTGTCCATTCTCATATTATATTGAAATTTAGGCCCTATTATTAAGAACCATGGAAATGCGTATCCCTGGGAGATGTTAGGTATGTTTTGGAAAACACCATACAAATATTTAAATTTTTAGAAATCTGAATAAAGACTTTACGTTGCTTTTTGTTTTATATCTAGATTTTATATTATCTTCATTTTTTTTTTTTTTTTGGATATTTTACTGTCTACGTGTAAATTAGGATTTTATTATAATTATTCTTTTATTTTGTGACAGAAAGGTAACTTAATTATTCATGTGTTTTATACGATAATTTTCCATTTATTTTCTAGTTTTCATGCCCATCATCCAATTGAGAAAAAGGAAAAACAGGGACGGAACCTCTACTAGCGAGAGAGGGTTTCCATTCCGCATCTAGTGGGTCACAATCCTGAAGATTCAGGCTATCTTTGCATTTCTTTGAGAGAGAAAGACTTCGAGATATCACTACATAAGAGGCATTTTTCTCAGTTGTTGAATTGGGTCACGTCCAGTGTTGAAGTTTAGATTGTAAATTAGAGAGAGAAACCCAATTGTTAACCAAACGCATTTGTAAATTATGTGTTGTGATTGTCATCTTAGGGTCCTCCTAAATTTAGTGCAAATGTACATGATGGGAAGAGAGAAGCTGCTAGAGTGGGCCTGCACCTTTGCCCTCTGTAGCTTTTTGCCGTTTCCTTGTTTTGGTTTTAATACTTTATTGCATTTCTGTTAATTGAGAGGGAGAGAGAGAGGGAGGGAGGGAGGGAGATTGGTTGAATGGGTTTTTCAGTTTTTGCCTTACTATATAGCTTACTTTAGAGCTAGAACTCAATGCGGCTCTGGTGTTGCTGCTCCTGCTGCAACAATGGAAGAAACAAGTTGCGAATTGTGGGTTCTCTGTCTCTTGTATAAATATAGAGAAAAAATGAAGTAGGTTAGAGAGAGGGGGCATTTGGAGTATTGCGGCAACAAGAAAGCAAGGGTTGACGTAAACTGGCTTTGAAATCTTGATAAGGAAAGAGAGAAGGAGAAGAAGAGGGGGATTCAATTGAGGCGTGCAGTTCTTTGAAAGGAGGAAAGAGAAATTATTGTCTCACATCGCGTCGCATGTCACATGGCACCTATGTACCCGACTATTACCTTTTTGTCTTAGGGCATATTTTGCCTATAAAAAGACATTTTCCAACCATTTTTATGGATCAAGACCCTAACCCTAATTCCAGTTATAGAAACCCTGCAGCCCTAAAACCCTAGTTACAGGAGTCTACTCCAGCCATCTTCAGAGATAAAGAATGACTCATTTCAGTCATCATAAAAACTAGATGTAGAATTCCTTGCATTTCTCTTCGCTCTGGTGTACTCTCATTCAATCAGGATCATTAATTTTGAATATCAAGGAGTAAGGACTTCTCTCTGCCATCTAATCGGAGCCCAACTTCAGATGCCAGGGCCAAGGGCCCGGCTTCTAAGTTATTCTTTTCCTCTTATTTTCTTTTATGATTTTATATGCTTTGTTTTCTTTAGTTATTTAGCTTTACTTTCTCAATAGACCTATTATTCCTATTTTCACTTATTTTTTTTATTATTCTTTTTATTTATTTTAGTTTAATTAAAAAATTTCTTTTTATTTTCATTCTTCTTTATTTTCCTAAGTTATTAGATTTACATGGTTTGGATATCCCTATGGATTCACTATTCTTGTTTCTTGCATTTCCTTTCTTTTGTTTTTAGTGTTTATTTCGGATGTCACACTATCTAAGCTGGGTCGGCCACATATTTGTGAGGAATAGGCCTCTTTGATGTTGATTTCTTCATAGCTCAGAATTTGATGGGACGACTCTTTTAAATAACTAGTTGTGCAGATATTCTTAGACGGATCGGACTTCTCTTTGTCTAATTGGTGTCCGATTCGTGTATATACGATTTGGTGCCACCATGAGGCTCGTCAAGCTTGGGTTTGTGCAAGGTCCGGTTAAAAGCACATCATATTCTCCTTTGGAAAGTCTGGAGTTTTGCAGCTAGAGGCCTAACAGAGAACATATGAGTAACGAAGAAGCAACTTGGCACAATACAAACCCTTCCAGGGTTTGGAAGTCTTTTGTACAGGAGACTGTGGGGCAGGGGACCCTGCCATTGACACAGGCACCCAAGACCTCCCTTGGACTTGTTCCTTGTCTCTTGTGCCTGTATTTTGACATTTTCTGCCCTATGTAAGCTCGTATTTCCTCTGTTTTGTCGATGTACTTGGCCTCTTAATTTTCATTGTTTAGACTTTCACTTTAAAATTGTTTTCTAGCATATTTTCCCCTACTTTCTTTCCCTTTAGTTTTAATCTTGCATTACAAAAAAATAAAATAATTAGTTTATTTATAACTGCCATCATTGATTTCTTTTTTTGTTTTATTTCTTGAAAAAATAAAAACCAAAAAGAAAACTTCTTTCTGATTTTCTTTAGTTAGTTTGCTATATTTCTTGCTCTCTTAAATAAAATAAAATAGAGATAAAACGAAATTTCTCCTTTTAGTTTTATTCAATTGTTTCCTTTCTATGTTTTATTC